AACATATCTCCACACAGCTTTGTTGATTGCTATTTGATTATAACTTTTGTATTTTTCTCATGAAAATTCTTATTTTCTCTTTTATTTTTTTTTTCCTTAGGCGAGAAAGAATTCACTATAAAAGAGTGATTGCCATATAAAATATTTGTTTTTAAAAACTCGTTTAAAAAAAACAACAACTACGGTGTGTGGTTTAGACCACACGATATAAGTGAAAGTATCAACAAGATATTATAATATGAAATATAAATTATCAATAATAGCTCACTAGTTGGCCCGTGCAAAAAATTCGCAGAAAATTTTGTTTAGTGAAGAAATAACAAATCAATATGGAAATAAGTAGTTCTTATGTATTATGTAAGGAAGGAATTAATATTTTTTCCTTAGTCGATTACAATAGTCCATTAAACTTGATAGTCAAAATATTTGTACAAATTGCTTTGCTAGGACCTATTTTTAAACGCTGACTGGAAAGACAATAAAAGCAGTAAAGACCAAATAATACCCCGATCATAGGATATTCTAAATTATTAAAAAAAATAAAATGTAAGAACAACCAAATGTCTTTAAGAAATAATAAAGTTAATATAAAAACCAGGAAAAAAAGTGTAGTAGACTATTCTACTCCTAAATGCAATATCTTTAAACAGGAAGACATTATTAAGTATACCAAAACTAATGGATTGTATCTTTGTTAATAATTGTCCGATTTTTTTTGTTTTGTAGGTAATTTAGTAATCTTTCTAATTTTAGGGGTACAATTTGGAAAAAATTGCATACTTTTTCTGTTATTCACAAATAAAGTTTCTTTTCCTCCATAACTTTTTTCCCAGAAATTTCGGGGGATGGGACTATTTTTACATGTGAAGGAGAAGAATATCTTCAAAATTAGTGGTCAATCATTGGATTTGATGAAGAATTGACGAAGTTATGCAACGTTTGTGTCAATTTTTTTCAGCGAATTTCAGCAAACAGCAATACGGACAAAAAAAGGACCTTTTAGAAATAATACATATAGGATTATAAAGAGAATGCAATTCTGAACATTTCCCTCGCTTACAGAATCCAGATTAGAGTTTTAGTAATAAAACTCGTTATCATCTGTCTTTCAACACTATGTTTTCCTTTTCGTCTATCTAGTGTGGCGTCGCATTAAGATAAAAATTTGAATAATAGCTCATTCTAAAGAGAATAAAATGATGAACATTTCCCTCGCTTACAGAATCCATATTAGAGTTTTAGTTTTTGAGATATTTTAATCCATATGGAGGAATATAATTGACCTGTGTTAAAACTGTTGGTAATCAGTGGATGCTGAATCGGATGCTTTACAACTTATAATCTATTCTAATAATATAATAACAGAATCTATTATTTTTGTTCTCTTAGGGAACTCATTTCCAAACTGCAGAGATATTTATAGCAATTTGTCTCAGTTTTTTACAGATATGGTAAAAATCGGCGTGCATTAACCGTGGTTTTCTACCATATTGCTTAACCAAATTATTATGTGTAGGTACTCGTTCAACGGACAATTTAACGATCTTTAATTCTTTTAAAATACATTTTTTGCTTTGATGTACCGTTTAGGAGTTATAGGTAAAAAAAAAAAGATCGAAAAATATGCTTTTTTGGCAGTAAAAAGGTTTCCCTTAGTTAGCAATCGAGTTAGCAATTTTAGTTTTTACTTGTTTGAACCTATATACACAAGTTAAAAAAATGACAACTTTTTCACAATATACTTCCCGTCTTGATCCTCAAATTACTGTCCTAATATTCTTTAAATCATTCGCCATTTTTTAAAGCAGTGGCTCTGGAATAGTTGGTTAATTTTCTTTATAACATTTAGTCCGTGGTACAGACCCATTTTTATTAAATCATTAACGTCCGGCTGAAACTTCGTAAATAGTTTCATCTCATCGTAACCTACAAACATTTTATTTACGAAAAATCTTGGAATTTGGGCGTTTTCAATCTGGAGTTCGGCAAACTTTGTCTATTTAATTAGTTACTAAAAATGCGTAAATAACCCATTTTCTTTCCACTTTAATCGTGAGATAACTTGAGCACAAAGTCAAGAAAAAAGATGGCCTTCAAAAATATTGAGCCGTTTGCCCTATGTAACCTCGTTATTTTTACAATTTGGGAGTATAGGTCACGCTAAACGGCTCAATATTTTTGAAGGCCACCTTTTTTTCGACTTTGTGCTCAAGTTATCTTACGATTAAAGTGGAAAGTAAATGGGTTATTTACGCATTTTTAGTAACTAATTAGATAGATAAAGTTTGCTGACCTCCAGATTGAAATCGTCCAAATTCTAAGATTTTTCTTACATTATTCTCTAAATTTCCTCCAATTAATGGTCAAATTTAATGAGCCGTTTTATAATATAACCTACCAAATGGTCTCTTGCCTACTATTGTGGCATTCGTAACAGCTACATGCGCCACCTATCTTAACATACTTGCCTTCGTATAATAAGATATTGATTGACCAATTTCTATAAGCAATTCTATATTGGTCTTTCTCCTTCATGAACGATATATCGTAGCTCTCGTTACGATTTACATACCTTTACAAAGCTGGATTGCCAAGAGTCTTACAGTTTCACAAGACGACAAGAGCGGGGTATTAAGAAACAGTTAGCAGTCGAATTAAGAGCTTTAGCAGGCTCACGTACTCGCCTCTCTTGACGAATAGTTGAGTAACCTCTCGGACGAAAGTGCGTCGGAGCGTCTCATTAGTGACAGTGTCGTAAGGTAATCACATTATACACTTAGCTGTCCGGTCTACTGGAAACTGTCTTACGAATTGCTTCAACTCTAAGAGAATTTTCACTTATTTATAAAATAGAAGTTCCCTTATTTATAAAAAAATGCGTTTTTTAAAGGACCATAGAGTCATGGAGTATTTGAGAGTTTTCTAGAAGAAAATTACATCATCGTTAAGAATAAACATACAACAGTAAAGAAAAAAATAGGTTGGATTCAAATAAAAATTTAAATTATCCTAAAAACTTCCAACAAGAACTAAATAACAACATTCAATAGTTTAAAAAAAAAACTCATTCAATTCAAGTCATCTATCCAATCCCTTTCCACAAGATCTCGTCCTTCTGACCTTTTTACCCCTTTTCACAAATCTGCCTCATTCCAACACTCCTTTATTGTCGGCTCTATCACCTTTTGGAATTCCAACCCACTGAAAATCCGTCATGCACCATCCCTATCCATATTTAAAATTCTCTTATTCCAATTACTCCTTACAATTGAATCAGACGCTGGGTAGCCATTTATCATGTAACAAAATTGCATTTTTCACTATGTATCATTTGTATATAAATATACATTCTTTTTTTGAGTATAGAAAATATGTCCAGTCACTTTCGCTAAGAATCCGTTTTATTGGTCAGTTTTTCAATACATAAGATTCTAAGTCTTGGAGCAGTATTTACTACTAATATTGAATGCACTCCTCTATATGTGTATCATCTTTTATTTTCTCCGCTAAATCTACAGCCCAGGATATAGATTATATAACACTTTTATAATGTTTGCAATACTATTATTGTATTCATTTGAACACATTAAGGTACAGATGTAAATCATTTATAGTAAATACTTATCTACTCTTTTACTATTATTTTTTTCATTAATTCAATGGTATGACAACACAAGTAATTTATCGTTCATTTCAAATTTCATTTAGTATTCCATAGTTTATTGTTTGTAGCAGTTATTTTCCAGTATTGTCACCATATTGCTCACATTATTTCTTTAACATATCTGTATAGTTATGTAAATACTTCTGTTATTACTTAGTTTTTAGTTATTTTTTTATTGTAATATGTATTTTGGCAGATAGTATGTTAATTTTTATTTACGAAATTGTTATTCTTAAGGTACTTTGTCTCAGAATAAAGTTGATTCTTCTATAAAAAAAAAGAAGACTATTAGTTTATAAATCTAAGTGATGTTTTTATTTTATGTGTCCATTGAACCGAATTTCATGAAGTATATTGGGAGTCCAGTAAGTAGAGGGAAATTTCTTTTGGTGTGATTGTAGACATCTACAAAGAAAAAAAGAATTACAAAAAAAAAAATGAGCAATTTTCAGTAGAAAAATAGGAAATCCAAGTTTTGTGTTTTTTCAAGTAAGCCTTAGTTTTTATTGAACATGAAGCTATCAGTATAGAAGTATTTTATTTAAGCAATAAATAATTGCATCACTGTAAACTAGAAAAACTTTACACTAAATGAAAATAGAGTTTGTCATTGTTTGAACCATTTAAAGAGGACATTTGCGCGGCTAAATTCTGTTTTAAAAATAAATCATAAATTATTTATCGCCATCAAACTATACTACAGATATCCCACTTTTAAAAAATCTCGTTCGTTAATTAGGCTTTAAGTCTGTATTAATTAAGTTGAGGTTTATTAGAGAAAGTTTTTAGATTCACCTCAAGTTGTGTAAGTGAGCTTATAGCAGATATTAAATGTTACAAAAAAGTTCATATTAGCAATGGGCAATTTTCAGCAGAAATGTGGGAAATCAACTTTTGTTTTTTAAGCAAGTCGTGTTTTTTTTGTTGAATAGAAAGCGATAACTCAATAGGTATTTAATTTAAGGAATTAACGATTGCTTCGCTATAAACTAGACACAATTTACTTTAAATGAAAATAGAATTTGCCATCGTTAAACCATCTAAGGAGAATTTTCTAGCGGTTAAACTAAACTAAGTTCTGTTTTTAAAAAAAATTATAAACTATTTAATCATTTAAACATTTGGTCGGCTAAATTAAGTTAAGTTCTGTTTGAAAAAAATCATAAATTATTCATGATTATTTTTATCATCCTCCAACTATACTTCAAGTTTAGGAGAACTTCTTCGTTTAATAAGCATATAGTCTGTATTAATTAAGTTGAGGTTTATAAGGCAAAAGAGATTCATTTATATATTTTTTTTCGACGCATGTACTAAGACCATGAAATTTATTAAGAAATGTCAATTAAGATGGTCGTGATATTTCGTAAGAATGCTTAAAAACTAAATACTATTTTAAAGTTTATTTTTATTTATCATAAATTGTATATAGTCTCAATTATATTAAATGATATCCAATGTACCCCATTCATTATAATAAAGAAATATTGATCTATTCCGGAACAGGAATGCGGTCATCTTATCATCTTGAGCAATGCCTTCTCGATAATTAATTAGTCATATCGTCATTTTTATCCAGGGTGTTTTCCTCATCTTCTTCATCCATCTTGATCGTGCAGGAACTATAAGTGCGGTCATCTCTGGCGCCGAGTGTCCTTTGCAATAGGAAAAGAGAAATAAAACCGCAGGAAGATCCTGTATAAGAAGTAAACAACAATTATCCTGAGGAAGAATCAATGTATTTACAGACGTTATTACCTGTGTGGGAATACCCAATTACCCTCCATCATTTCTAGGTATTTTATAATAGTACCTGGAATTTGGATTCTATGATTTATAACCAGTTTCTTGATGAAATCATCACGGGATTTAATAGATAAAAAACAATAAACTATTATTTATTTTTACTTTAACTTACTTTAACCCAAATATGAAACAAGTGAATAACAAATAAATGAAGTTACTGCAATAGTGAAAAAATAGTGAATAAATAGATTTAACAAGTCTTGAGCCTAAATAACCAAGTCTTGCAAAACGTTCTATGTATACAAGTCCAATCATTCGGTAGTTTGGAAAGGAAAAAATTCGTGAAGAGTGAAGATTTTTTTTTGACGGATCTATATGATTTTTATTGACTAGATTCGAATACGGCTTATTCATTAAAATAGTAAAAAATCATAAAATTTCGAATGTTATTTCAGTTTTTCGTTTATAACTCCCAAACGTTGCATTCTAGAGAAAAATCACCTGTATCGAAAAGGGAGTTAATAAAATTTGCTAAAAAATAAAACTAGAGCCACTAGTAATAAAATTATTTTTTTTCGTTTGGCCGTCAGTGCGCGCTAAAGATTGACCGTTGTTTTCAACTTATCCAAATCTTCGTATTTCAGACTTTCAAAGCCTTGTGATACACAAACGCATATATATATATGTGTATATATATATATATATATATATATATATATATATATATATATATAATACTTAATGGCTGACCGTTGAATTATTAAGGAATGAGAATATCTAGGGTGGCGCTCATAAATAGACTAAATAGTGGCAAAACTATTTTATTAAGAACCAACGTTTCGACCCGACTTTGCAGGTCTTCTTCAGGGACGTGTGTTAAGCAAGGATTTCCACTTAGAACAGCCAGTTCTAAATAGATATGGAGATATGGAAAACCTTACCTGATTTTTATTTCATTAGTCCGTACTTCATTGCCGTTATTATTATTTATTTCTTAGTTCTCTCTTACTGTTATTATTCTTCCTAGTTTATTTTACTTTAATGTTCATTCTATCTATTTCATTTTACTTTAAGTTTTTTTCTACCTACATTTTTTAGTCTATACCTTTCATCTTTTTAATTTTAATTCTTTATTATTCAATGTTTATAGTTTCTCATACCTATTGTTATATGGTTCTTTTCTTAGCCCTGAAGAGGGCCCGAATTTCAGGCCGAAACTTCGGCAAATATAATTAATAGTTTTCTTATTTTTTTATTTTGACTGATCACCCCAACTATCCTTCTCTTCTAAAATATAAAATCTTTTATTTTATGCAAGAACAAATGGTAAATTTTGGTGACTGAAAATAAATAAAGAAAAGTCATTTATACAAGTCTTTATTTAAAATCTTCAGTCATTCAGCAGTTTAAAGTTATTTTTTTCTTAATTTATTAGTATAAATTTAAGATCTCATATTATTTTATTATTACTATTATTATAGATAACAATTTATCTATCATATTTCAATATAGATATATTAAGCTTTATAGTCATATAAGAACAAGAATAAGCCTTATATAATCATAAGTCTACCTTCTATAAAGGCCCTGGAGAACTTGGCTTTTCTTACATATACTATCTCTATAATATCGATTTTTTTTTTCTTTTTGGTATATTACGAGCTATTGAATTTTTATCCTCTTTGTTATAAGAATCGATTGTGATTTTGCCGTATATAAAAAGCCTCCTTCCTCCTGCTAGGACACACTTCCTTTACCGTGAATAACGAGATAAAAACTCGGAGGACTTCGGTCGTTTCCTGTTGATCGCTTCTGTAATACGAGACCTTCGCTGCACTCTTCTGCAGCGGAAGGCAGCAATTCGAACGTGATGTCTCGGCACTACGGGAATTTTCTTCTGTAGCGAATCGGAAAAAAAAACTAGTCGTTCTTCGCGTATGCTTATAGATTGCATGGAGCTCAAAACGTCAACGTTAGAGGTTAGAACCTTCAGTTATCAAACGCATCCTGTCCTAGTTCAAAGCCTTTCGAGCAATGGTAAATGCCCCATTCTATTAAACAAACAAAAAACCTACAAAATGAACTTGATATCCCATTTGTTCTAGATATTATCCCAGAAAAATTCCAGGAATTTACCATCCCATCTCCTTGCACAATCCCTATCTAGTACCAACCATCTCTACAATCCTCCTCGAAGGTTGAAACGGCAGTGGTCCCACGACCTTTTGTAATATATATTTGGCAATGGCGAGATTCTCCACTCAAGACATCAGTTCATTTTTAAGTTAAATTCTTATTAATAAGAGGAGGAGACTAAAAAGGTACTGAATGAGAGATCTTCCTTTCAAAATGTGGTTAATGAATCAAGCAATGGAAGAGTTACTGCTTTGTACTATCACACCTTTTGTCACTCAACCCTCCACCAAATGGTAAAATATAACTATGTTTTATAGAAATAATAATATTAAAACTATCTCTTAAAGTATTCTTGTTAGTGTGATTAAATTTAATTGGACTTCAAGAACCACTTAAACACCATTTCATATAGGTAATTAATTTGTTCTTTTTTTTCTAATTAATTATTGTTATACGTATATCAAAACAAATTTTTCGGGCTGAAGCCCTCCCCCCCAAAAAAAATGTAATCCTGGATCCGCTAGTGCTTTGTACTATCACACCACTTGTCAATAAACTATTTACACTTGCAAATAAATTTATATATGAAATAAATCAATTAAAAATTAATTAACATCAAATCATATTAATTTATGATAAAAGCTAAAATAACTAAATCATATAGTTTTTATTCCTCGTTAAAGAATCGAATACACAGAAAAGATTTAATTTAAAGATTCTAGAAATAATCTAGAAAAAAGTAATATATGTGAATCATGTTTTTCCGCAAAATAACTATTGCAATTTAATGAGTTGGGGCAGTTCACTGGTTGCCATCTGTAGTGGAAGTCAAGCCGAACCCGGCCAAGTTGTCAAGACAGAAAATGTCATACTGTCGCACAGTTTACAGCTTGAAATTTGCTGCCATGGTTGTAACTCGCAACAATAAACAGTGGAAACGAGGCTTAATAAACAATAATTGTTTTAACCGTTGCATTATAAAGGAAGGAGATGGTCCGGGGTGGTCATAAATAGGCTAAATAGTGGCAAAACTATTTTATTAAAAGCCGACGTTTCGACCCGACTTTGCAGGTCTTCTTCAGGGAGGTCTGTTCAGCAAGGAGTTACACTTATAACTCAAATTCAGTTCTAATATAATATAATAATATTAAAATTTTACTTATTGATATTACTATTTTATTTTTTTGGCGTAAATTCATTTGAGATATATACATTTTGTTGACTAGGAAATATTAGACCAAATTGTCGAAAGAGCCTCAATCAACGACAAGTCCTTCTTTAGATTAGATTTGACATTCCAAATCCTGATTCGGATAGTGTCCTCGTTTGATATGTAAACTGTTCACGCAGGACTGATGGAAGGATATAAAGCACTGTGAGGACACTAAAACGACCACGCTATAGATATCAAAGTACTCTTATCTTGAAGGCCGTGGTATCAATGGCGATCAACTATGTTTCCAAGGCTAGAAGAAAAAAGGAATATGATTTCTCAAGTTCTTAACTTGTCTATTAATTAATTCAAAACGAGTAAATTTTTAAGGAGATATTTAGAAAAGATTTAGAACCAGAGAAATAGGTAAGAAGAAAAAGAGATTCGTGGCGCTCTCAAATGGATTGACTGGTAATTAATATAATAAAATTTTTCCCAGTTAAAGTTAACATCAGGGACTACATTTTTCCATAAAAAAAAAGAAGAAAAATAATTGTTGTGAGTTAATACACTTTTGTTCAAGATGGACGATATTGTCAGTTTTGCTGGAGTTAAACCTTTTTGTTAGTTTTTGTGAAGAAAGTGGCTGATATCCACTCGATATTTCCTTTGCAACACAAAAAAACTTCTTACCTTCTTGATCTGTTTACTCCTTGTTCCACTGTCCATTCGTTCAACACGAGATCCCAGCCCACAGACCTGTTTATTCCTTCTCATAAAACTGTTTCCTTAAAAAAAAAATTCTTTCTCATACGTGCTTCCTTGTTTTGGAATTCCCTATCTAAATCTTCATCCTAACTTCATTTAAACATCATTTATTTTGCCATTTCCTCATAAATAAATCTTCTAAATATATGTAAGAGTGATATATTTATGTTTTTTAGAGCTTTCACCTTATTTTAATGACATCTTACAGATACTTATATATTAACCATTGTTTATATATTAACACACTCTTATACATCTACCTATAATTGAAATGTTAACTTTTGCCTTTCTTTATTTTAATTTCAAGAAGCAATAGTAATGTAATTTAAATAACAACAAAAATATTTTAATAAAATATGTTTAATTAAAAGATTTAACTAACAACAAAATATTTAGTTACATTCAGTGATCATCTATCTATAAATAATTAATAAATATCCAGTGTAATTTCATCTTACTATGACAATTAAAATATTTTATTGGCAAAATAGGACTTGCATTTAAAAAAAAAAAAAAAAAAAAAAAACCGTTTAACTTTCTATGCCAGACAAATGTTACTAAATTGTTCATTATGATTATTCTTAGGAGGCTGAATGACCAAGAGTAAAATTCAATTTTCTTCTTCTTCTTAATACTTCTTAATATATATATATATATATATATATATATATATATATATACATTTATTAAACTTATATATACTGACCAGTTACTGTATATACTATATACTGTATATGATTAACTAGTATACCGTGTGTGTATAGCAACCCAAAATAATTAGGCAGCAAGCTTTTATATTTTATATCAAAATAAAGTATTTCTCTCTCTCTATGAGTCACTTATTGCCGAAGTGAAACATTTTAAATATTTTTGGAAGTCGAAATAAGTATTAATTCTCAAGTATAAAGAACCAATGAATCCGATAGTGCTATTATTATTTTTTTTTCCAAAACGAACCTAAATATAAAAATATAAAGGGTGCAAAATTAAGTTTATTTTCCTACAGGATTTTATTTTTAAGTTATGAAATGAAACTTCCATTTCATACATATTCGAGAAGTACTTCTAAATTAAGTTTCCAACCAGAATTAAACGATTCATTATTGGGAATTCATAACTTCAAAGGTTTACTTTATATAAAATGAATCATGATCTTATCATTTGAAGTATTATTGGTAAGAGATAGAAATTATGTCAAATATTAATTTAAAAATTAACATGATTGGAGTTCTGGCAATGGCCAGATTCTTCACTCAAGACATGAGAGTATGTGGCTAAAGTGCTCTCGACCAATCTCCGCTGGCTTTAGTACCAGTGACGCGGTCGGGAGAGTAGCGCAGGGTTCTCCTGGAGTTCCCTCGCCTCATTGTATATAGGTATCCATGTGTTTTTTTTTCTTAGTTTTAATTTTCTTATTTTTTAGGTTATTTTATTTTATTATCTATTGTATATACTTTTGATTATTATTTTGTTCTATTATTTTATTTTTTTGTACATATAGTGTGAATGTCATCCTACCTAACTACAACCAATGTCCAAGAGACAGATTGTTATAATTATCAATAAAGAAATTAAAAAAAAAAATTAAATTGAAATTTTATTTATTAAACAATTTTGTAAGCATTCAAACTAATCAAAATATGTATGGTACATGCCTTTTAAGCCTAAATATACACAAAAGACAAATTTTGGTCAAATAAGCAATATAAAAATTTCCCAAAATAATTAGAATGAAGATAAAGATTCAGAAAGATCAAGATTCAGAAAGATAACGATTCATGTTTTTATTACTAACATGGAAAACTTTTTTTATGTAATCCGTTTTTGTTTAATCTTAAGCGACTATGTACAACGCCAGGTGTAAGGGAGGGACATTATGAAACCCGCTGTAGACTAATCTTCTTGTCAAAACGCCAACAATGCTGTCGATGACGAGACCAGTTAATGGCCGAAGATTGCGTTTCAAAAGCTTTAAAAATAGTTCCATTTTAGAGGATAAATATGTTAAGAATGAGTCCATTCAGCGCTTTAACGTGTTCACACCAAACCTCTACATATTACCCGCTTCTTTACCTCGTGTCCTGGAAAAAAAAGAACAATAAAATAGCTCTAAATAAAGGCTCTGGAAAAAATAAAGATGCCTTTATATTTGCATATTCGGGCGCTTACGTCAGGCCGAGGATAATCGTGGAAGATTTCCTTTTTGGCGCCCAACGCCGGGACGATAGTTTTCATTATGGCGGCGTGAAAGTGAATTGCGACAGCAAGCGATTCGCCTAGCCCCGGATCAGATCTAGTTAGCATCTCCACAGCCATTAGGATAATACCTCTTGACAGTTTTGAAAGCTCTCTTAAGAAATAGCGGATGTGAAAAAAAACAAATATATGACAGTTAAGGAGTTTACTTAATTTTTTCTTTGCGGCTTCATAACTTAATAGATTCACATTTCAGGAGTTATTCAATAATTTCAAAGAAAAATTTTCTATATTAGAAAAAGTGAATGTTCCTCCTTATTTGCATGTTAACAGTAATGGATTTAGGATTAAAAATTATGGATGGAGAATTGTGTTTTTATGATGATTAAGTGGTCATTAAAGGCTTGTTAAAAAAAATTATACTTTTAAGGAAAAATGTTTTATATTTTTTCTAGACACCTTTAGAATGCTCTTTTTGTTCTTTCCGAGAATTGTTGCCCAAATGCGAGACCAAGGAAAGTCTTGGTCTTACGCAAGAGTCTCGCAAGAGTCTTGCAGTTACCTATTAGCTTATTAATGTAGAGACATTACTGTAATTTTTCTAGATAGGAGGAACCTAACTAAGCCCGAATGAAAAATGAAAATAATTAAATGCAAAAGTATATTGGTTATACCAATTATTTACATATAGTAACTAAAATTGTCAAGTATTATTAACTATTTTGTCTTACCAGTCTTGGTCTTGGTCTTGCAACAGTTAGGTGATCTTGGTCTTGGTATTGCAAAGTGTAAGACCAAGACCGATTTTGGACAACCCTATTTCCGGGGTTTTCGGTGTCGGAAATATGATTATGTATGAATACATTAAAAATTCATTACCATTTTTTAAAAATTTTAATACAAATTATTTCCTTTTTTTTGGTACTACAGCTCGTTTTTAATTTCAAAACTCCACATTACTCCTCGACTAAATTTTAGTGTTGTGAGCAGACACTTCAATGGGAAATTGGTCATCAAAGTTTTCACATTTTAGAAGTTTTTCTAGACTGATTTCTATGTTTTATTTTAATAAATAGGTTATTATTTATTGTTATTGTTATTTTTTTGTATATTTTAGATCTCCTACTAAACCGGTTAAGAATTTATTTATCAAAGTATTTAATACTTTTATGATACTCAGGCTCATCGGTTAATTTTTTGATAAGGAACGCTGGACTGTATTATCTACACTTTCAGGTAATAATTTAATACGACCACGAACTCGTTTTCTTTTTGACTTGGGTGTACTAAGGTTTATTGGGTCTTCCATAGATAAAATAAATGAAAAAAAAATTCATTTAATAGTTTTTCATGTGTTATAATTTTAAAGTGAGTGAATATTGTATATTAAATATGTATTATGTATTTATTTCAGGCCACTCACAGAAACAAATATTGATAAATGAAAACTAAATTATTTTTCTATTTTTTTCGAGAGAGGAATTAGTGAATTTTCAAGTTTTGCTGTCATTACACCCCCCAATAAAATTAGGGAGGGGGCAAGAATATCGTTTCTGTTATTATTTATCATATTTATCATTGCAAATAACATTATGAATCATTGCATCCATTCTGTTTAACTATTCATTTCGGGCACCGTATACTTCTTACTTTATAGACAGGACTTATTTTCCAAACCATCAATAAAAAATAAAATGTTGGCAAAACCTTAATACAAATGAAATATGTAGCATTCTACATTGTGGACATTAAAAAAAAATTAATGAAAACATGTTTTACTCCCTTCTCTCCCCCCCTTCCAAAAAAAGTTGTTAAACATACTTTGTGCCTTTATATACATAAATAAAGTTATTTGCGTGTGTTATTTGTAATTTTATATACTAATGATTGCTTTGTTTTTCAGGTAAGAAAAGTTGAATTTTATCGCCTGCTTGTACTTGAGTTGTAAGTAAAGTTGTTAATTATTTCATATTTTTTTCTATTTCGATATCTATCTGTGTACACTCATATTTTATTAAATTGGATCCTTATTTAGGATTAAGGCACCAATCATGGACAGATTGGACTTTAAATGTAAATAATAAGCTTCCTTTCTAATTTAAAGGTTCCAGTTTTTTCTAGATTGACAACTGCATGAACAAAGTTCCCAAATAAAAATTTAAAAATGTCTATCATTGTTGTTTCTATAGTGCTCTTGAGATCAGTGTGTTTCATACCTCCCTAGTAACAGTTTTTCTAAGAATAGGTTGAACATTTATATTATGTTATCTTTATCGTTATGTTTATAGTTAAATAAAGATTCCTCTATTTTTTTTTTTAATTTTATTGAGAAAAAAATACATTTTGTCTTAGTTAAGGGCATTGAGTATTTGGGATGTATGAAACTCAATCATACCATATATACAAACAAAAGAAAAACAAAGTCATAACAAAAGAAAACTTGGAATAACAGAATATATCAAACATGAGACAACGTTAAAGAAAAAATAAAAACACGTTCATACTTATTTAAAATATTTATAGACAGCCGAGGGAGCGCTTCTCTCTCAGCCGCATCACTAGGATGGGAATCCAGTGGAGACTAAGAGAGGGAACTAAAACTACATACGCTCATGGCTTGTGTGGAGAAGCTGGCCATTGCCAGTACTCTAGTGACGTATTTACAAAAGATCTCGAGGCCACTGCCGTTTCAACCTTCTAGGATGATTTTAGGGATGAACGAAACTGGATAAGGGTTATGATGATGGATTAGGTTCTAATGAAAATTTGAAAATCGGGATGGAATAACGTCAAGGACATAATAGTTGGATGTTTAGATCATGATGTAAGGTTTTGTTAGTAACTTAATAAGAAGCATTGACTATTATACGGAGGACTTTAGACTGGAAGGATTGGATGCTTTTGATGTTAGAAAATTTAGCTGTTCCCCATACTTCAAGTATGTAGGTCTAGATGAGTTTCAGTATGGTCTTGTATATTAATAGTTTGCTTTCTAATTGAGAGGTTAGGTTTTCTATTAAGTAGTCTGTATAAATGGCCAAATCGTCGGTTAAGTTCTTTTCTTTTAAATCTGGTATGTCGGTTCCATGTTAGTCTTTTAAATAAAGAATTTAGAATTTATCTGCGGTATGTCCATTACTGGCACTAGTGTTGCCCAAAATCGGTCTTGGTCTTGCACTTTGCAAGACCAAGACCAACATCGCCTATCTGCTGCAAGACCAAGACCAAGACTGGTAAAAAAAAATCGATTTTTTGAATAAAAATTGAGGCAAAATAGTTACTAATACTTGACAATTTTAGTTACTATATGTAAAGAATTGGTGTAACCAATATACTTTTGCATTTAACTCTTCTAATTTTTCATTCAGACTTAGTTAGGTTTCTCATATCTAAAAAAATACAGTAATATCTCTATAGTTATAAGCTAATAGGTAATTGCAAGACTGTTACAAGAGTCTTGCACAAGACCAAGACCTAGACCAAGACTAAGTTTGCAAGACCAAGACTCGTCTCGGTCTCGCATTTGGGCAACACTAACTGGCACCGACCCCCTTTCCTTTACTAGTGCAACTGAATTTTGGGGTATCCATCATTAGTGCCTAAGGGTTTTTTTTTTTTTTTTAATGGAGATTATACTTGCATTTGTCAAATATTCTTTCAATTTTAAAGAGTCAGATAGAAAAAGGAGACCCTAGAGATTCTAAATGTTCAACGGAGAAGCTTATAACTATAATAATTATGATGGCATAAGCCAAAAAATACAAAAAAATCTTCAGCTATGTCTATCACTGGTGACCTTACCATATTGGGTTCTGAAACTTAATCATGAAGGACTTTAGCTCAAATTTCGACTAGTATGACTAACGTACATTGTGTACGCAATTCTAATAACTTAAAGCGATATATCGATACCCGTCGGATAAAATGTTACCTCAGTGGTGTCCCTTGCATTTAATATTATTACATGAGAAACCTTGGTCACAACTTGGAATACTGGAATGCTGGGGTTGCATAACAAATTTTTTTTTTTTTTTGTAAAATTGTTTATACTATGATATCTGCTGCGGTTTTCTACTCTTCGTTTCCGATTACTGTTCAACATATGTCTAAGGAATCGGTACCTTGATAACAAAATATTCGAGAATTTCGAACTATTACAATTCTAAGATAATATTAATAATTCGTAAAAGAAACTCGATACTTTAGAATGCCTCACTCCTGACCTACAAAACACACCCAAAAAAAAGACAAAAAAGGTTATTCGTGAAGTAGAACAACTTCCTTGTGTTTCCCTAACCTGTACAATGTTATCTATAACTATTTAAAATAAAATAAACAATTTTTTTATCTGTCCCACTTCTACTGGCATTATTTCTTTATCTTATAATTATTCAAGTTATTCCAGCTAGCTTTGAAATGATCCAAAACTTCAATGATAATAAAGGCAAATAATGAAAATCTAACTATGGATAAGGATATTAAAAAAAAAATCTAAATAACGATATTTTAACAAAAATGTATATTTTTTTTCGATAGTTTTAAATCGATATTATAATTGTTATATCGAAAACGGATATTAGAGTATTTTCAAATCTATACCTGAAAAATGTTCGTTTAATTTTTGGTTTATTATTTTCAATAATGAACCATTTTGATCGACCAAAAAATTCAAAAACTTAACCCCCTCTCAAAATTTGAGGTTTCACGTTTCACGATGCGTAGAATTCGAAAAACGAATAAAAATTTTTTGTCCGTCCGCCGTCCGCGCATTTTCTCCGAAACTACTGGACCGATTTTTTTCAAATTTGGATATAAAATCAGAGGTCACCTGAGGATGATCCTCCTTCATCGACATTACTATCGCCTTTTACTTTCAAAATGGCGGCCGAAAAACCTGCGTTGCTATAGACTGTAGCTCCTAAACGAATGTACCGATTTCAATGAAACTTCGCTAAAGTCATTTTCTCGACGCCCTTTAAATTTATCTATATAACATACTTCAACGAAAAGAAGCTGGAAAAAAAGTTACGAGGGATGGTAAAATTAAATTCCGAATAACTCAAAAAGTTTACACTTTTTTGTAGATATTGTATGGTTTTTTAAAAGTT